ACCATACAGCCGCCTTTGTCTCCTCTAGAAGGGAGGCAGTGTAAAGGAGCCACAGCAGACAAGGTAAAAAATGCTCTCTGCTCAGCTCTACAATGCCTCTTTACGATTTTAAAGATCCGTCAACATCACAAAGTTCGTTTTGATCAAGTCATACCAATACCATTTATTCTCTGATCCTGCAGAGCTTGTCTGGATCCGGTGAGGACCCCTTTCAGACAAAGGATGGGTGTTTAGGTGTTTAGAAGCCGCGAACCAGACCTGGGGCCGAAGCAAACCACTCTGGTTCTCACCTTGCACCCTTTGCATTCCCTTCAATGCTCCAGAGAGAGGGCTCTGAAGCAGACGGGGAAGGCAACCAAAGCTCTGTGGCTTCTCTACATGGATCATTGTGTCACTACCTGAGACAACCCGACCCATCTTGCTTAGGGTTTTCACCTCCATTAGGATGACTCTTAGGTTGTGTGATGTATAATCAGGTGTCACAGTCAATGCTGGAAATTTGGGGTGAAGCAGAGAGCTAGAATGGATGAATAAAGGCAGGATATTCTCCATCTGTTTTACTGGATGTAGGATTCTATCAGCACCAGGGAGGAACTGCAAGAGTTCTCTTTACTGCTGTTTCCTAACCTGGCCTCAGAGTGGCTATTCTTTCATCAACTTGGAACAGAAGTCCACATACCATCTGATTTTAGTCACTAATGTTCCTTTAAATCTTTGCAACTTCACTGTCCCAGAGAGCTTTCCAATAACTTCTCTCCTAAACTTGGAGACTGGTTTGGAATGGAAACTGATAGAAGAAATCATTGAATCTTGGAGGTTTGTTTGAGATGCCACCTTTTGGCTCAATTGACTTCCTATTACTCATTACAATAACACACAAGGCTTTGAGTTTAAACAAAGTATGTCTGTTTATTCATGCATTTTTATCAATAAACATTTTGTAGATTCCTACTATGTACCTGGTGATGTGCTAGAAGCCTCTATATGAAGAATACATAAAGAGGAGGTTTTAACTTCAATGGAGGCTCACTTACAGAGATGGAGTCTATTGCACAGAAGCAACTGAAAAGGAGGCCTGACCCTCTGTGGGCTACTCCACACTTAAAGAGACTTCAGTAACAATTAGCCACTGCTTAGATTTGGCTAGTTTCCCTCAAGGAAAATAACTGCCTAAATGAGGTAAAGAAATATCACAAGGCCTTCCCGAAGTAGGAGAAGAGAACAGTTTACAACAAACTAGGGGGACTCATTCAGGCAGGAGATAGAGCAGTTTCTAGGTCTTTCTTTTCCACCTGGGGTACACTAGTCCTCATGGCCTCAGACATGGATGGCATTACTCAGGCAACCAGGCACTCTCGGTTCTGCCCTCAGGAGGTTACAAATTTTACTTACCTGTACGGTGTCTGTAAGGATAGTGAGGAGGTTAATACCTACATTTCCTCCTCTGTAAGAGTTACTTCTACCCTGATGGCTGACAGTAAGCTTTATCAGTTACTTTAACCCCTTGTAAGAAAAGAGTGGGAGCAGAAACCAGTAAATAAATGTTAAAAGAACTAGTCAATCCAGGACACCTCTTTTCTGTCAGAGTATCAATGAGCACAAATTACATTATTAGGCAACAAGTATGATAATTTGGTAATTTAGCATTTTGGTAATATATCTGTGTCTGTACACACACACACACATACATACATACATATATACATACATACACACACACACACAGATTTGAGATGTAGTTGAGGATGACCTTGAACTGCTGACTCTCCTACCTTCCTAGTGCTGGGTTACAGGTATGTTTTTTACAATAACCAGTTCATATGGTGCTGGGAATCCAACCCCTGGACCTTGGGTAAGCACTCAACCAAGTTACACACCTAACTCCAATTTAGCAGAATGTAAGGAACACATGACAACTAGCAGAAAGTGATACTCGGGGTCTATCGGTCTATTGCAGGTCACATATAAAGAGATATTAAAAGACACTTTTTATTTTTACTTCCTTTCTTGACCAGCTAAACCAGCTGATATCTACTCATGGATTCAAAAACTTTTAGTCAAATGTGCTTTTTAGTCCTGTCCTTTGGTGAGTGAGTGGTAAGAGGGGGTGGTTGTTTTAGGGATGTGCTTTGCCTAAACTTGCTGACTGTTCCTATAGACTTTTCTAACTGCCTGAAATATCTGAGGTGTTCATGGGTCTCCACTTCCTAACTCTGTCACAGTTTGGCAACCTTTTCTTGGGTAATCTCTCTCCCCTCTAGACCCCCAGGTTAATACATGCTGTTACTACAAAGTCGCGTGAACACAAGCTGCCAAGCCTGCTTTCACACTCCAGCCCTTGCTGTGATTTCCAGGTGCCGACAGCATGGATCACGGCCCTTGCTCCTGCCCCACTGCACCTCAGTGCTTCCTTGGAGTTGTTGGGTGGATCAAGGCCTGCCTTCCAGGCCAGGCTCCTGCCTACCTTCCAACCTGTCTCTTGCTTCACCCCTTCCTGGCCCTCCAACTCTTCTTGCCCTACTTGGCTTTAAAATTCTGCACTGACTGCTCTTTTGGCTCAGAATGCTGTACCTACATGAGGTCATACTCTATCTTTTCTCGGATCTGTTGGGGAAGGGCTATATTATTTCTCATATGAGAGTAGCCTGCAACTCTTAACATAGCCCGCGGCCTTTTTCTACTCTACCACAGCCTCAGACTGTCAGGATGAGGCAGTGGGTGAGGCTGGGCAGGGCTGGGATCCGAATGCATTTGGTTCGGGTCCAGAAGGCTCACAGTTCCTGAGGGTTTGAGGAATGAGCACCTGGCCTAGGCGACAGACTGGGGGTTCAAAGTGGTGCGGTATGATTTCCTTCTAGTCACAGATAACACTGTTATTTGGGATCTAAAGTTCATTAGCTACATAGCTCAAAGGGGTTGAAAAAAATCGATTATTCATTGTTTCTATCAGGATAATTAATGAAGAAAGTTTTCCACTCATGAATTGGAAACCACCTGAGTTTTACTGCTATTACATTTTTACTACTTCTTTAAAAATAAACCCTTGACCTAAACTTATTTTACTTGTGATCAAGAGGCCTTATTTCCCTTTCTTTCTCAAAAGCAGTAAGTAGATGAGTTTTCAACACATCATTTAGGCTGGCTCTTCCTCAATCATCTGTGCTTTCCCGGCAGCCCCTGAACAAGGAAGTGTGTGATAGAAGCTCTGATAAACACAGTTGTTCAGAAAATCATTTGTAAGGTTCAGAGGTCGAAGGTGGTTAAGATCCACTTGCCGTCGCAGGACAGGCAGAGAGAATCATAATTTGGAGAACAATGAGGCAAGATAAAGGTAATGAAAACTAGGGCTGGCGAGGTGGCTCAGTGGGTAAGAGCACTTGTTTCTCTTTCAGAGGACCAAGGTTGAATTCCCAGCATGCACATGGCAGCTTACAACCATCTGTAACTCCAGTTCCAGGGAACTGGATGCCCTCTCCTGACCTGGGGACCAGCCATGCATGTGGGGCACAACACAGCTGCAGGCAAACCACGTAAGATAAAATAAGTAAACCTAAAAAAGCCTTTTAATCCATGAAAACTAAAACAATTCATGTTTAACATGTACATCTTCACATGTACTCTTGCTCTACTCCTTCAAAATTCCGCCTGGTCAGGCTGTGAATCACTCACATACGCGTGCCCATATTTCCCACCAGTTGACAACACCAAGATCTTGCCATAGGCCAGATAACCTGTGGGGTCACGGCAGGCAGGCCTGTGCTATTTTACGCTTCTCCATCCACACACACTGTTCTTGCGTAACAGACACAGTCTTCCTTGAGTGGCGCTCCACTGTTTGTGTGGTTAACACAGAAACCACTCTGAGCCCACGCCTGGCTCAGAGAACCTTTGAACACTCATTCCGTTTATAGAACACTGTTGTCTTTTTAAATTTACACTGACATTTCTTTTTGCTGTATTCATCACACTTTTTCCAAAACACGAAAATGCTCGTTTCATTTTCAACACTGACTACGCAAGAAAAACTAAGTCTGCTCTAAGGCTTCAAGCCATCCCTTTATTAGCAACAGTTGCGTGGTGCTGTCAGGGGGAATTCTGAAACCAAGGGCCCCAAGTTGGAGGTCAGGCACATCTGTTTCACTTTGCAGTTTATTTTCTTGTTTTATTTCTTTGGCTATGGATTCACAACTATCTTATAACTGAAGACTAAAGAAAAAACATATGTTGGTAAATCTGATTTCTCCCATTATTTTTGTTCAAGGGAAGTTGCCTCCCTCAGCCTTCTGCCAATGAGGAATGAATGGACTTGGCAAAAAAGTTTATTTAAGTTGGCTTTGTTAAGCCAACAAAATACAGAAATCAAGTAAGGGACAGGCAGAAAAATCTGTGCCTTTGAAGTCAATAAAAATCCATCTCCTTAATCCTTTTTTTATTCCAAGCAGAGGTGATTTTTCTCAACTCGCTCACTGAGAACCTTGATTTAGCTAATCTATCTTGCTTAGTTATCTTTCTACTCCAAACCCTAGCTAAAGAAGCATCTTTCCCCTTGACAACCACCATCCTTTAAACTGCAGAATGGTGCATCTTGTTATAAACATTCTCCAGCTAATCCTGGTAGAGGTGTAAAGAGCAGGCTTTTTTAACCACCACCCCCATTTTAGAAGGACAAAAGCAGCAGAAGCTAGACAGCAGACAAATATAAATGGCAGAAAGATGGCCTCAACCTTGCAAAGTGACTCTTTCCTATGTCTCCACTGTGCCTTCTGTCACATTGTTCACCAGCCCATCAGGGAGGAAATGACAATACTCCAAATCTACACCCAACCCATCTGCTAAAGGGCTAAGAATCACATAGGAATACAGTGAAAGCATGTTCATGTCTAACAATTTCACTGCTTGGAAGAAAATTCATTATCTTCATAACATCGAGATACTCAGTCAGTGTTGGGTGTTTGAAGATAAGTTTTGTTTGAATGACTATGAAGAAGAACTTCACTTACCTAAGCTGAAGAGCACTAGGAACTTCAGACACACAAACTCTCGCTGATCAATCTGTAATGAGCGGAGCCTCACCACCAGTTCCTGGGCATGATTCATGAGGTTGCTGAGCGTGGCTCCGGCTTGCGAGGCTATGGAGGAGTAGTCCAGCTGCAACACAGAACCACAGCAGTGACAGCCAACAGGACCAGCAGGACAGAGCCCCTGGAGCTTGTTAGTAAGCTCCAATTGTGGGTTGCAGTAGATTTCTACCACAGAGGATACAGCCGGTGTGATGGAGGCCATTCCTCAATTGAGATCCCCTTCTCACAGGTGCCTCAGGTTGACAGTAACTGACCAGTTCTAACTGGGAAGAGCTGTGCTCTTGAAAGCAATTAGAGACACCTCCTGTAAGATGTATCACAATTATTCTGATAAAAATCCGTGATGACGATCTTCACGGCAACTAGTTCTTCTTGCCTACAATTTCCAAGTACCTACACCTGCAGTGAAAATCTTTTCACGCAAGTAACTAGTTTTAATTATGAAGTATAAGTTGAAAGAAAAATATGCTGCCCGCAAAAAATGAGCCACATAATAATTCTACATGTGCCCAACAGCATAAACCAATACGAGGAAAATAATGGTTGAGATGCATCTTAACTGGCATTGTGAGATATCTTAATGCAATCCTGATTCAAGACCACTCGCTTGCAGATGATTTATGCCTGGTGACTAAAGGACTCTCTTTTAAAATAAGAGACTCACTATGTAGCGCAAGCTGGCCTCAAGCTCACCGTGTCCCCTGCTTCAGCCTTCCCGGCGTCACTACACTCCATTCTACAACTACTTAGTAGCTTTGCCCCTCCTTAGAGGCTGACGTGAGGCTGTTAGTTTGAGATTAGATCCTATCGAATTGATTTCCACCTTTCTTCCCACCCCTTGACACATGTCCTAATTTTTATGCAGAATAAATTTTTGGTTTGGAAAATGAACCCCAGAAGTCTTATGTCCATTTTCACTTTGTAAGACGCACTGAGAGGCACCTGTCTTTGTTATTCGTGGGGACATAAGACATTCGATTTATAATAACAAGTTAAGATGTTAGGGTGTCTGCCCTTGACAGTGCTGGCTTTGCTTCTACGTTCTCGGCCTGGGAAGTCACACTTGGTACCTGGCACTCCCAGCCTTGTTTTTCTGGAGAATTCTCAGGCAACCAGACGCTCTTTTAGGTGCATTTAATTTTTGCAGGAGCAGCAAATTTGTCTGGGAGGCAAGTCCTCATCTGCCACTCAGCCAGAGCAGACTGTATTAAATTTTTATATTTATTGACATTTCATTACCATAATTGACTGCACTTGCTTCGCTAGGAGAAGGCACCGGGCCGCCTCCTTCGAATGAGAACTAGTCCCTTGAGTAGAATTTGCAATTAAAAACAAGGCAGAATGGATTTTTTTTTATTGTGTAAATATGATGAGTTGAATTTTCAGCTCTAACTAGAGAATACTGGGTGTAAAGAAATCTTTTTCAAGAGGGGGAAAATTATGAGTCAGTGGAAAGATGAGCCCCCCCGAAAGGTGTCAGTCGGCTTACGGAGAGTCAGCTACGCATGAAAAAGCCACCACTGACGTGCCATCCGGCGAAGCTCCTGCTTCAAGCCCTGTGCCACCCTCTGCTTTGCACCCGCCCTTTGGCTGGCACCTGCCCATGCAATTTAATTGTCAAGCACTCTAGGAGCACGTTCAGATTCTGAGAATGTTCGGAATGGTCAGTCTGCAGGCAGCTTGAACCCTGGGGTGGGAGAGAAACAAGGGGAACAGTGCAGTGCACAGCAGGGACTCATCAGGCTGGCACAGTGACATGCGGCCATCATTTTGCTACTTTTCTTAAGGGAGCTTTCTATATCAAGGAAGCTCTTGCTTCAAAGGCTGGGCGTGATAGCACGGACACTTGTAATCCCACCACTCACACCCTAGGAGAGGAAAGGGTTAATTTGGCTTACAGGTGGCAGTCCACTCTGGAAGGAAGCCAGGGCAGAGACTGTGGAGGGACACTGCAACTGGCTCACTCAGATTGCTTATACAAGTAGCACCACCTGGTCAGGGGTGGCTCCGCCCACAGGGAGCGGGGCTCTTCTGTATCAGTTAGTAATCAAGGAAATGCTCCCACAGACTCAGCTATGGGTTAATCAATTTCTCAATTGCTGGGTCCCTTTCTTCAGAGGTGTGTCTAGTTTGTGTCAAACTAACCTGCACAACTGGGAAAGCAGAGACAGGAGGATTGCTTGGGGTCTGGCTGAACTATACAGTAAGTTCTAGGCCAACCAAGCATACTTAGCATGACTTAGTATGACTGCAAATCTCAACAGTCAACCAAAAATGAATGTGAGTGCATTTGCTGCTAGCATAGCGCAGGTTGAGCATCCTAGGATGGGTGCTCTTCATCAAGTCTGGTGGTTCATAGCCTTAAAGCCTCAGCAATCATTTGAAGCCTGAGGCAGAAGAACAGTAGTAGTTCAAGGCCAGCACTGGTTACTTAGCAAAACTGAGACCGGTCTGTGGTACATGAGACTTGGGCTCAAAAGAACAGAAACAACACAACTTGACACACGAAATTCTCTCAGCTCTGAAACTGTCTCAGTGCCAACACGGCACTGAAAGTGACAAGTTCTGAGTTACATGGGCTCACTGAAAAGTACTAGAAAAATTCTCTCTGGGTATGTATATAAAAGTGTATATGAAACATAAATGAATTGTATATTTCAAATTGGTCTATCATATATATGTATATATATATATATATATGTGTGTGTGTATATGTATATGTATATATTCAGCATTTAATAGAAATTGTACAGGGGAAAATGGGCTAGGTGGCTGAATGACAGCAGGAAGGCCCAATGACACAACAATGAAACTGGGGACAAGACAGACATGGGTTAAATACTGACGCTTACAAAGACTGTTGAGATAGTGGGACACCATCTTCACCCCTTAGCGTAATCACCTTTAAATAAGGCAGTTAAGCTAGAAGAGGTGCCTCTCACAGTTCTAATTCAAGCTTAAAGCTAACTGCAGACACTGCGGTTGCCGCTTAACACAAGCAAGTGCCCTGTAGTAAAAGTCATTGACTCAGCCCTGATCCAGGGGCTATATTAAAGTGAAATACAAATGCCTGGTCTTAGTCAATTTTACTATTAAGACGAGGCTAATTAAATTAGGTGTGTGTGTGTGTGAACATCCAACAGGCCTACATAGCAGAATTTCTACTTGAACACATAACACACTATACTAAAGGAATCTCAGTTGCTTCCCAGGATATTTAGTTAGTGAAGAGACCTTTAGTAAGATAGACCTCAAGACATCAATTGGCATCTCAACACCTTTATAGCCGTACATTTATTTACATGCTAATTTGAAAGCTCAAACATGCTTATTAAACAAGGGACTCTGGCAACATTTCTTCCAAGGATAATTTATCAAATTGTGCAGCTCTGAAGCAGAGCGGATGATTCATTTCTGATTAATCACAGACCTGCAACTTCCTTATATTTTATTGCAAATATAATTATATTTTCATTGTTGGATGCTGAGTTTGTGCTCATTTCGGGAGCAGCTGGCCTTGTCTTTTATGTACTTAGTAAAATTAATTGATTGCTCTCTTACATGTAATCTTTACACCATTAAATTCAGGGGAGAGTCTGAAGAGATGCTCTAAGCCAGTGTCCCCTTTGGGTAAATTTCATTCATCACGAAGATACAAAGATAATTTAAGCTAAATTGCTTTTAGTTCTAATGTCCAAAATTTTGATGACTTGGTTATTGTTAAGATTCTTGTCATTTTAATACGGTGTACAATAATAGAAGGTTCACAGTACATCTTTCCCTTAGGACGATGTCACGGTGGCTGATAATTTAGGTACAATATGCAAATATTGGAAGCTAACCTCGTGTCACAGAACTCTGTTATTTGACACATGCACAGGTGTATGTGCATAGATGTATATGTATAGCTTTAAGAAATACTGGATAAAAAAAAAGGAAACTGCTAAAAATATAAGCTACCAGCTAGATAAATTGCTTTGATGTACTGAATATTAGTGAAAACCAGCCTTTCCTTTTTGCCCCAGAGTTATTTAATCTGCACTTATGTCAGTGCTGGATAAAAACGCACTCGTAGTTGGACATGGTGGTGCACACTTTTAAACCTAGCACTCAGGGGGCAGAGGCAGGTGGACCTCTGTGGATTCCAGACCAGCCTGGTCTACTGGTCTACACAGCAAGCACCAAACCAGCCAGGGTGTGCGACCCTGTGTGTAAAAAAAAAAAAAGAAGGAAAGAAAGAAAACAGAAAATATAAGTTTAACCTGGGGACACCGTTACCCCCCTTTTGGGGTAACTTTGTCTTCCTCCTGTTCCTCCTTCCTTCCCAGTTTCCCTTCTTGGTGATGCTGTGGATTGTGCCTAGGGCCTCACACGTTGTTAGGCAAACACTGCCCACCAAGTTGCATCCACAGACCACGCCTCATTTTTAAAACTCAATGTGGCCTTTGCTTCCGCCTTTGCTGCCAACAGTTTCACTGGTTCACTGTGGCACTCCACATATAGTGTGGGAAGGCAAGAACACTGGGCCCCAGAGCAGCTGGGCCTTGCAGCCCTCAGTTGGCCATAAGGCTGCCACAGAGGTGTGGATGGCCACCACACATGTTTCAAGGGAAAAGGAAATCACTGTCTAGGATTCTCTTTATGTCAGGACTTTGGCCTTGGTATGTGTCTTAGCAGCTTGGGGAGGAGAGGGCTGGCTTCAGCTTCCAGGTCCTGAGCACACTTCCTCTTCTGGAAGTTCCTACAGTACGCCCGACTGTGCTGTGGGGCCTGCCTGCAGCACTGCGCAGTGCAGAGCACATCAAAGGACAGTGGCTGCCACTATCAAGCAGAGGGAGGAAGGGCCTCTCTTATCACTATTCACTGCAGGGCGATGTCTAATAATTCTCCTTTCACATCTTTGATTGCCCTCCACTTATTACTCTGCCAGAAGTACCTTTTACCCAAATGAAAAAGCATCTCCTTCACGTATTAATGAAGCCTTAGGGGAGTTCTGCATGCTTAGTTTCTTTCTGAGGACATTAGCATGACTTTGACACAATTCATCATGGAAACATCTTGGTGTGAAAGTTCACACTTTAGACAATCTATGGGACATAGGTGACTATGTCTCAGTGTCAGCCTTGTTTAGAGACTTACTTTTGGTTCCAGCATTACACAACTCCTTCCTGTCATTTCCATTGCCATTTTCTCATTTGGGTACCACAATGGTCCCCACAAACAGGCTAGGAAACGTGCTCAAGATCATGTAGCTTGTAAATTCTAAAAATGGCTATTCTGACATACACAGATATACATATAGACACATATATGTGTGTGTACTCTTACCATTTCCAAACCAAAGTCAAGAACTTGGTATTAACAGTCAAATTGCAACCTAGCTGGGTGTGTTGACACATGCTTGAAATCTGAGTAGTAAGGAGCTTGAAACAGGGGGATCATGAGTTTAAGGCCAGCCTGGGCTACATAGTCAACTCTTTCTCAAAAATCCATCTACCCCTATAGAAAATACACATACCTTTATACCTAAAGCTGTCCCCATAATGGGGACATAATGGGGAAGAAAGTTATTCTAATATACTTGTTTTCTCTAAAATAGTGCTTGGCTCTTAGACTCAATATATCCTTCCCGTTTTCATCATTGCATGAGCTGTCTCATTAATGTTGGTATGCATCAAATTAATTATTATTGTTCTAGTCCTCCCACTTCTGATATCAGGAGAGTATTTATCATTCTAAGAAGAAAGTACTTGTCTCCCCGGGCTACTGGATTAGAAAGTGGACAATAAAGGAGATTGGTGGCTGGAAAGTCATTCTGTTTGCCCAGATCCATGAGAGGAAGCTGGATAATTGATGGAGTGTGGATGAAACTAGGAAAGTGGTGAGGGATATTGCTTTTCGCCTGGCTCTTAGCTAAGTTGTTTTCCTCAAGTTTTAGGCTAGAGATACAAGGGATCTCACTATGTACAGTCACTACTCCTTTCCACACGGCCACCATTCTCAGTGTACAGCAGGTGCTAGAGGCACACACATATCAACTGGATTCCAAGCATCCTTTCAAGGCGTGCAAATAGAGCTCAATGGTAGACCATGTGTGAGGCTCTAGGTTTTATTCCCCCAGTCCACAATCACCCTTCCCAATTTTCTCATGCAGTTGGAAAGCTCATGAGCTCTGGAAGTCTTCCTGTGTGGCTCTTTCCCTGTAGCCTCAGGAGCCTGAAATGGGGAGCAAGGGAGTAATGCTTCTCTTGCTTGCTCCATGACAGAAGATAAAAGCCTTCTCCCATAGTTCCACAAATTAGACTGTTTAGTTATGAGAGTCATCATCAGGCTGTCCACATGGGGGAAGCTGGGAACATCTGTACTGCAGGAAAGGTGTGAGGAAAAGGCTAGGGAGTTCCCTCCTTCCATTCTCATGCACCGTCCAGAGTGGCAGCAACTGACAACAGGGATAACACCATTTATTCTGTGACTGCACTTGCTTTTAAAAACCAGAGACAAGAGGTGTACTTTCTCTGCTTTTCAAACAGTAATTACTATTACTCTAGGCCAGTACGCAAGACAAAATAAACTAGGAAAAAGGAATATTTCTAAAGAGCTGGGATGAAATGGCACAATCCCATTTCATTTAAGGAAATGAGATTCAATTAATTCATGAGCTGTGTCTTTTACTTCTAATGCAGCCTCTAGCTGGTCAACGGTGGGATGCTCAGATATGCCCTGTGATCAGACTCAAAAATGGGGATGCGCCTGCCAAAGACTTGGGTCACAGAATGAAAACACCAAATAAAATTTGGAAGCGCAGGAAGACTTTCTCATCTAGAAATTCTTTTTCTCTCCCTGAAAGCAAAGACCAGATAGTGATGGAGACGGTAGAATTGATCCAGTCGGCAAAAGCTCTGAAATGGTGCTTGCTTTTAATTTGATTGGGAAATGTGATTTATTAATAATACAGCAAATAGTGTGGAGACAGCCTTTCATTTTCAAATATGCACTGCTGTGGTTTCACAGCACATAAACGTTTATGGCTGGACGTAAAAGATCACAGTGCCTGCGTGCCAGAGTCACCCTGGCTGAACGGTGTGGTGGTGCCCTGAATAGACGTGACCGAGTGATAAAGAACCCACAGGGCAGCATTGTATTACCAATCAATCCACTATTTGTAGGGAAGAAGAGTACAAAAGCAGAAGAATTTGTACCAACCCCAAGGAGTTGGGATTAAGCCTGCTGTATGTGTCCTCTCTTTCCCAACATGTCTACACTGCAGTGTCTGCTTTCCCACGTGCTGTTCAAATGCCACCTTCTCAGCAAGCCTATCAAATGCTGTCATCCCTACGTCCCACTGACACACATTTTCAGGAATATGTGCTCATTCCTCTTCTGGCTGGGCCCAATTTATTATTCCTTTGCTCCAATATACCACAGGTTGGTGAATTAGGTTATTATTGTCAACCTCATGCTTCAACATTAAGTTCCAAAAAGACAGGAAGTATTTCCTGTTTTACTTTCTGATATATACTAGTGCCTCTTAATAGTGATCAGCACATAGCAGGGAACCCAGTAAATGTTTGTAGATGTGACAATTATCATTTTGGAAGCAAGTCCAACTTCAGGGGAATTTTTCTGTTTTCTTTGTAAATAACTGACTGGCTCTTGAAAATTGGAACTCCTATCCCTTCTCCTGTGTTTGCCTCTGTGCCAGCCATTCCACTGACAGCATTCCAAAGCAGTAAAGATTCTGGGGCTGCTTGGCGAGGACATACCTAACATACGCGAGACCCCGAGTTTTGTCTATAGCACAATCATCACCACCATTACCATCCACTCTACAGTTTATAAAAGAACTAAAATGGCTGGCTAACATACAAATACGGCCTGTTCATGCAGAAGCTGAAGGGGAAAAAAACCCCACCAGTCCTAACTGCTGACTTTGATTTATCTGTTGTTCTGACCCTTGTACAAGACTCCCCGTCCTGTAGACTGGCAGCAAGAAAGCTCTATTCCAATCAGAGCAGGAACTGAGGAGCCCAGAGTCATCATTTCTCAATTAGGGGCAGCTAGTCTCTGCCTCTCAAAGCACAAGAGTGCTTCTGACCTAGTAAAATTCCCGCCACTCGGAACGTGCTTAATAACGAGGTTTTTTTTTTTTTTTCTTCTTTTGTTTTGGCCTGGATACTCACTTGTTGCCCGGTAACCAGGAAGATGGACCCTTCCTTCCCATGGACCACTTGCCGGTAAATGTGATCGAGGATCAACAGCTCACTCCAGCAGTTCTGAAGCAGCTTCATTTGGTCATCAACCTGCAATTGAAAAACAAAAGCGTGCGTTGTTTGCTACCGTTTTGGTTTTGCATAATTTTCCAGAGAAGAGGACCAATAGGCAAGGAGGTCCCCGTCAATGAGCACTCAGACACAGATGCTCAGCCTCTGTTCTGCTGCTTCTGGAAAATCCTATTCTCATTCAGACAGATACTTCAGGATGTAAACTAAGTATCCATAATCAGCGAGCTGGGGAAAGGCACTCCATCAGATTGTCCTGGCGAGCATTGCAGGAGCTGTGGAAGTTTGGTTGTTAGAGCTACAGGTGCCTGGATGGTTCTTGACAGACCCTGGTAGAATGATCCCAAATGACCCACGCTCACACATGTAAAGGTTAATATACATCTTAGCAACCTGCCAAACAGAGAGAAACTAGCAGGGCAGCCCGAGGGATTTCTGGAGGTAAAGGAACAGTAGCCATATTGATCTCTAGTGTTAATTACAATTCTTGTTGGCACTTTTTTTGTGGGAAGGGGAGTGTTAAGAAGGGGTTTTGCCTGCTCCTTTCTCCCTCTGCCTCCCTGAGTGCAGGGATTGATCACGTGTGTGTGCCACCTCACCTGGCTTTGCAGCTTTGTTTTGTTTTTTTTCCCCTTGTTTTTTTAAGACAGGGTTTCTCTATGTAGCCTGGGCTGTCCTGGAACTTGGTTTGTAGACAAGGCTGGCCTCAAACTGAAAGATCTGCCTGCCTCTGCCTCCCAAGTGCTGGGATTACAGGCTTGAACCACCCCCACCACATGGCTGGCTTTACCTTTTCAATGGTATCTCTCAAGAGAAAGATCACCAAGGCTACTACTCTTGACTGTGACTATCACTTAGAATGCCAGGACTGGCCTTGACTACACAGCACATATGAGGCCAGCCAGGGCTGCAGGTGACCCTGCCTCAAAAACATATACATTCATACATACATGCACACATGCAGCCTTGGCTGTCCTGGACCCACTTTGTAGACCAGGCTGGCCTGGAACTCACAGAGATCTACCTGACTCTACCTCCTGAAGGCTGGGATGACAGGCATGAGCCACCACACCTGGATTTTATATGTATATATAACTTAATATTTTATTTTCATCTTATGTGCATTGGCCCGCAGGCATGTCTGTACGAGGGCGTCAGATTCCCGGGAACTGGAGTTACACACAGTTGTGAGCTGCCATGTGGGTGCTGGGAACTGAACCCAGGTAGAAGAGCAGCCAGTGCTCTCAACCATCTCTCCAGCCTAAGTGCTTTTTCTTTTGTTTGTTTGTTTTTATGATTCTGCTACAAATTCTGCTACAAATCCTCTAAATGCCAATTTCCTTTTGTGTCAAGAGTAGTCAGGATTACTGTGAAGATGAAAATGGAAAGTGCTGTGTCATAATGAGGACTCCATACATGCCCCATCTCACCCTCTGTCATTATTCAATGACAGAGATGCATTTCTTTCACATATCTACCTATCTACGATCTAAATGTGGAGGGAATCAAGCTGCCATCTCAGGTGTTTTTGAGAGTCCATTTCTTCTACTGTAATGTGTACCAACCAAAACCCTGGTGTGCCCAGATGGGGGTCCTCATGTCCCTCATGTGCAGAGGTAACACTGGCTGGTCTGTCGGGGCATGCTTTAAGGGCTGGGATTACACACGTCTCAGAGTTTCTATTGCTGTGGTAAAACACAACAAGGAAAGGCAACTCAGGGGAAAGAGCTGCTTTCAGATTACACTTTCACAACATAGTCCATTGCTGAGGAATTCAAACAGGACAGGAACTTAGAGGCAGGGGCTGATGCAGAGTCCGTGGAGGATGCTGCTTACTGGCTTGCTCCCAATGGGTCGCTTGGCCTGCTTTCTTATAGAACCCAGCACCATCAGCCCAAGGGTAGCACCACCCACAGTGGGCTGGGCCCTCCCCCACCAAACACTAATTAGGAAAATGCCCTAGACTCTAAGGGCCTAGAGCTTTGCTTACAGGAATGGAGTCACTTTCTCAGTTGATACAATGACTACCCAGAGCAAAGCCTTTATGTATTAGTTTAGCTTTGGCTCACAGAACATGCTTTTAAAGTTGGCAGAATTGGTACCGTCCTGCTCAATTTTCAGATGGTACGATGAGGTCAAGGATGTATTTCTTGCTCCTTCCCCAAATCCAGGTTGTCTCCCAATTGTGCTGAGAGGTATGAAAATTTTCTAAATAAAATTAATTTAACTCACATTAATAAAGTATGTGGTTAGTTTTTGTCTGTTTTGAGACAAGGCCTTAATATGTGGCTTGGCTGCCTCCTAAAGTGCTAGGATTAAAACACAGTGTGCACTACCTCTCTAGTTATTTTTTTAAAAAGCGATTCTGTGAGACTCGGGATAGTTAACACACACACACACACACACACACACACACACACACACACACACAGATAAGAGCTGCTGGACAACTTGATTTCCACAGGGCTGGAACACAGTGAACATGGTCAAAACACTGGACGTGGGTAAAAACAAGGAATTAATGGATGGCTTCTGTACTTCCATCTATGAGAGCCATTATCAAGCCCTGTCTTCTCAGGGAAGGCATGTGAAGTGGTTTTATTACATACATAGGATGAGACGGTCTCTACGAAAGCCCTTTCAAAACTGGGCATGGTAGTGCATGTCTATAAATCCTGGCACTCAGAAGGCCAAGGCCGGAGAATTGAGTTTCAGGCTAGCCTGGGCTAGAGAGCAAGTTCAAGGCAACCTGAGCTAAACAGAAGCATCCCTGGTATGGGGGATGTAAAGCGATAAACAAATGAGAAGCAATAGGTGCAAGCATCCAGCTAGAAAGTTCTGCTCAGGAGGGAAAAGGGGGTTGGGGACATGGCCCAGTAGAAAAGCACCTGTCTTCAGTAGGTCCTTCTCCCCTCCCGACTTCCGAAGCCCAGTGGGGCAGGCTGAAGCTACCATGGAGCTGGGTGACAGAAAAACTGGACATCATTAAGAATCCCATTTGTGGTTTCAGAATTAGGATTTGAACCACAGACCCTAGGCAAATGCTTTACTATGAAGGCAGGCCCAAGAGGCTCTTTTTGATTGGCGGGTCGAAGTGTAGGGCTCTGGGATAAAAGGATTAACAAGCTTTGCACAACCCCCGCCTTGGTGGAAACCACTTGCATGGCCCAGCACCCAGTGGGTTAGTTGACAGTGGCAATTGTCAAGTCTCCAGAATGCCATGTGGCGTTGGGAGGGTCAGGGTGGGGATGGGTGGAGGCAGTAGGTAGGTTCTTTACCCTCTGCCGTGGGGTCGGCTGCGGGTGGGACGCTGTGTCCTGCTGACCCAGCCGCAGGTGTGTTGCTGCGCCCAGAGCAGACTCTGCAGTTCAGCTCAGGGTGGTTTCAGAGCAAAGTGCAGGCTGCTCCTCAGGTTTATTACACCCTCATATGCTATCAGCATCTTACTTCAAATTTATCAGTCTACAGTGGTAATCTGCCTCCATTCATTGTTTAAAATGTGATATAAAACTTTGATTATTTAACTCTCTCTTCAGGGAAACCCAAAATCTGTACTTTGAGATCTGTCCAACACTGACTGCACAGGAGAACACTGTATAGAACTTCTGGGAGGTGGGGCCGTGGAGGCCTTCCAAGTCCACACATGGGTGCAGAATATGGGTTTCAGCTTAAGAACCTTATTTATACAGCAAGAAAACTTACTGGGACAGAGCATGCCCTTATTCCCAGGATTTGGGAAGCAGAGACAGGCAGATCTGTGAGTTTGAGAGCAGCCTGGTCTGCAGAGCGAGTTCCAGGTCAGGCAGAGCTATATAGTGAGATCTTGTCCCTCCCAAAAAAGAGCAAAGTGGGGCTGGAGAGATGGCTAAGTGGCTCAGAGCAGGTTCTGCTCTTACTGGATTCCCAGAAACCAAGTCAGGTGGCTCACAAACGCCTGTGACTAAAGCTCCGGGGACCCAGCTCTGGCCTCTCTGGGGAACCTGTGCTCAGTGCACACGCCTAAGCACAGACATACATACTCATAATTAAAAATGATTAAAAAATACATCTTTTAAAGAAGTAAAGAAAGAGTAAGAGGTTTGACATGGCCATGGAGGAAGGTGAGTGGACATTAAGAGACACACGTTTCCCAGGTCGCTCTCCTTCGTTTTCATCTGATGAACAATCACCTATGTTTTACATCCAAAAGCTCAAGAGACATAGTTGCTGTAAAGGAGTTTGCCTAGTGATTGCCGAGGAAAACTGGAGCACAAAACTCTAACCTTCCCTAGTCCTTTAGGTCAGAAGCATGAAGGTGACTTTAAAAATATGGGCTGTTCTGTCCCATCTCCACCCCACCCCCACCCCCGTCCTTGGAAATTCCTGGAGTAGGTGACACTGAGTGTCTGCTTCAGCAGTGTATCATATTGAATTTCCTGTTGTTTTATAGTCCATGCTGTTCATGCCATCACATCTTTGTCTCCAACTGAGAATATCTTCTAACTTTTCTGCTGCTTTTTTAATGGAGGAACAAATGCCTGAATCACTTCCACTGGGGTTGTTCCTTTTACCTTGTGTGTCTCAGGTAGCCACTCCCACAGGGTAAGCTACTGTCTCCTTTAGTCCTTGTAAAATAAAGGATCATTTCCAAGTACAGAGAAACCACCAGCCACTTGTGGCTGGCCTTGGTCACATGTGCGCCCCCCCTTCATCTGCACCCCAATCAGGCCCTCAGTAAGGACTCTGGACTGACTGAAATTTCACCACCACCCATCCCCAGCACTAGAGCTTTCATTTGAAGGCACTCTGAAGAGGTTTTTACACTGATATTCTGTTGTATTACTTTCCATAATTGATCCTGTGATATTTTATAACATTTTGAAATTTGTGAGACTGCAACTTCATGCTGCTCTAGATAACATAGCTGGGAAAAGATGTTGGATTCTTCTCTATCTCTAGATAAGAAGTCCTGCTATTTGTGTGTGTGTGTGCAGTATAGTCATATATGTAGCATACATATACATATATGTATGTATATTGTA